AATCTCAGGCTTGAGGATGGGCAGGGAGTAAAGGTTTTTTTAGGACTGGTCTTCTGGGGGAGGGAGAAAAAGAGAGGAAAAATGAAAAAGAGAAAAAAGATAAAGGAAAAGGAGAAAGAAAGGAAAAAGAGAAAAAAGAAACAGAAAGAAGGAAAAAGGGAAAAAAGGAAAAAGGGAAAAAGATAAAAAAAGGAAAAAGAGAAAAAAGAAAGAAAAAAGGAAAGAGAAAAAGAAAGAAAAAAGGAAAAAAAGAGAAAAGGAAGAAGAGAAAAAAGGAAAAAGAGAAAGAGGAAAAAGAGAAAGAGGAAAAAGAGAGGAAAAAGAGAAAAAGGAAAAAGAGAAAAAGGAAAAAGAAAAAGTGAAAGAAAAAAGCAAAAAGAGAAAAATGGAGAGGAAAAAAGAAAAAAGAGAAAAGAAAGGAAAAAAGGAAAAGGAGAAAAAAGGGGGGAAAAGCAAAAAGAGAGAAAAATGGAAGCAGAAAAAGAAAAAGGAGAATAAAGAAGAAAAAAAGATAAAAAGGAGAAAGAAAAATGGGAGGGATATTCCTTTCCCAAGGCCCAAATTCTGTGTGTGCGTTTGTTCCTCACACCCTGCAGATGCTGTCTGGGCAGAGTAGCTCAGGGCCCTGATGAGATGCATATCCAGGAACTGCCAGGAATATTTCCCATTGTTTTGAGAGCACAGTCATGGGGACAGGAGGGCACAGAGGCCTTGGAACCACATTTCTGTGCCATTTCTCTAGCAATATAGAAGGAATTAACAACTAAATGTGTAATTCTTTGAGGGTTTTTACATTCCTCTAAGATCCTTATTGGGAAATTACTCTTGAAATAGTCCATAAATCTTCCAGGACTCCCCTTGGAATACTCTGCTTTAAGTTTTTTAAGCGATTTTTTTATAGGTTTATTCATTTACTGCGATTTCTTTAAGGAAGCAACATCACCTTACCCAAGAAAAAACCATTTCAACACTGAGTCTTCGAGCGGAGGGAGACAAGAGATATTAGCCATTTGGAGTGTTGGGAGAAAAGGAGCAAAAGCAGCAGTTTGTGATTTTTCTAGGAGCATAGAATGGATTGGGATGGAAGGACAATGATAATACTGGTAATAAGGATAACAACAACAAGAAGAATAGTTATAATAACAATAAATATCAACAGAAATAAGTGATATTAAAATTAAAACAAAAATATCAATGTTATCAATATAACATTACTACTACTACTACTACAAATAATAGCACTACTACTACTACTAATAATAACTAAAACTAATAATATAGATGCTATCAGAAAAAAACAGTGTAAAATTTTTGCTCCTTGCCCAAACTTAATACAACCTGGAAAGTGATGTGTCCTACCAACCGCATCACTGTTCCTTATCCAACTGATACAGCAAAATATCAAGTTCCACTTAAAAAAGTTCCTGATGCCTGAGAACTGCTTAAAAAATGGACACTTTAAGGGGCAGATCCTCCTTGCCCCAGTCAGATGAGTAATTCCTCTAATGCCAAAGAGAAGGAAATTTGGGCATGTCCTAGAAATGTCCCCAGCACCCCATCAATTGCTTTTCTGTCTGAGATGCTTCCAGGCTGAGCTCATTACGCTGCAAACTCTGTGTGCATGGAAGTGATCTGTGACCATCCCTGAGCCTGGGGCCTTTTCCACTTGGGATTGATACATGGGCTGGAATCTGCATTTCCCATTCCAGTGTCAGACAGTACAACCAGTGTGGCTGCACTTCTGCTGTGAATCCCCTGCAGGGAGCACAACAGAGTCCTTCACAGATCCTCCTGCTGGGCAGAGCCTGGCTGTGTGTGGATCAAACGGAGCAGGAGGAATGATCTGCTGCAAAATTCGGTTTCTTCCCTGGGCAAAGGCATTTGCTCCACTATGAATGTGGTTCTGCCAGGCCAAATGTGCTGTTTGAGCGTGGTGTTCCCCCAGGCTCAGGGAAGGGCTGGAGCAGTGTGTGTTGGGATGGGATTCCTGGCTGTGCCTGCCTCAGTGGCAGTGGCTGGCGACGTTGCATAGGGCAGGAAAACCCAATTCCTAGGGAAGATCACAGTGCTGTTCAAGCCAGCAGGGAGGGTGCTGGTTCCTCGCACACAGACAGAGGTGCTGGAGTGCTGAGGGGTTTACCTCAGCTCTGTGTGCCCATACCTGCCCTGACCCCTACCCAGGGTGAGGCTGAAGATGGCACACTGGGCACTTGTGGGGGCAGAGAGTGACCCAAACAAACCCAAAGCCAACCCACACCCCAGCCCCTGTGCTTTCCTGGCATTACTTAGATGATTTCAATTTAATTCTTATTTTATTCTATGTTATTCACTCCTAATTCAATTTAATTCTGCTTTATTCAATTCTTATTTTATGCTGCTTTAATTTGATCATTATTCTGTTCTTCCATCTCATTATTATTTTGCTTCATTCTTATTTCACCCTTTTATTTTACTTTATTCTTATTTTATTTCAACCCTTATTTTATTTTATTTCGTTCCTATTTTATTTCATCCCATTACTACTGCACGGGCTGTATCTTTACATCTCTTTGGGTGCTGAGGAGCAGACTCTGAGCCCCCCCGGGCACACAGCTCTGTGCCGGGCGCTCTCTGTCGGGCAGCGAGGGGACAGCAGCGCCCGGACCCGACCAGCCCTGCCCTGAGCATCCCTGTCTGTCCCTGTTCCTACCCTGTGCATCCCTGTCTGTCCCTATTCCTGCCCTGTCCACCCCTGCCTGTCCATGTTCCTGCTCTGTCCATCCCTGCCTATCGCTGCTCCTACCCTGAGCATCCCTGTCTGTCCCTGTTCCTGCCCTGAGCACCTCTGCCTGTCCCTGCTCCTGCTCTGTCCATCCCTTCCTGTCCTTCTCCCTGTTCCTACCCTGAGCATCCCTGCCTGTCCCTGCTCCTGCCCTGTCCATCCCTTCCTGTCCCTGTTCTGTTCAACTCAACCTGCCCCTGCTCTGGTCATCCCAGTCCATCCATCCCTGCCTGTCCCTGTCTAACCCTGTCCTGTCTATCCCTGTCCTGCCCCATCCATCCCTACCCTGTCCATCCCTGTCTCTCCATTCCCACTTGTCCCAGGCCATCCCTGCCCGTCCCTGTTCCTGCCCTGTCCACCCCTGCCTGTCCATTCCCACTCATCCCCGTCCATCCCTCACTGTCCCTGTCCATCCCTGCCTGTCCCTGCCCTGAACACCCCTACCTGTGCCTGTCCATCCCTGCTCACCCCAGTCCATTTCTTTCCTGTCCCTGTCTATCCCTGTTCTGTTTAACTCCACCCATCCCTGCCTTGTCCAACCCTGCCTGCCTCTGTCCACCCTTGCCTGACTCTGCCTAGCCCCATCCATCCCTGCCTGACCCTGTTTAACCCTGTCCTGTCCATCCCTACCTGTCCATCCCTTCCTGTCCATCCCTGCCTGTCCCTATCTATCCCTGCCCTGTCCATCTGTGCCCATCTCTGCCCTGTACATCCCTGCCCGACCCCCTCCCACCCCACCCTGCAGAATCCCTTACCCAGAACACAATTTTCCTCCCCAAATCGGGTGGTTCCCTGGGAAAGGCATTACCATCCCCAATCCCAGCCCTCACCACCCCTATCCCCACAAAACCCAAACTCACATCCCTGAAAATGTCCAAACACCTGAAACAAACAACCATGGAGTGATGCAAATGTGGGAGAGGTTAAAGTTGACATCAGCTGCCTTGTGCTCTCAGTGGCAGCATGTATTAGAGATATAAAAAAACCATAAAATACACCCAAACTGTACATATTATAAGGCTATATTTTTATCTCGGGGTTCTGGTGACACGTACAAACCACTTGAGCTTTGCTTCTGTGGTTTATATCGCCACGAGAAACCCTTGATAAAAATACAGCTTTATATTGTACAGTGGGGTATAGTTTATTTTCCCCATATATCACCCCCCGTGTTTTATTTATAAACAGGCCCAAAGACACTTGCACATGCAAAGCAGTTTGTTTATTGAAGTAATTCCGAGGTATCAATAACCCTGGATTAACTAACGCGTGGCCACGCCATAATTTCTGGGGGGTGGCAATGGCCTTTCTAAAGAGACACCCATGAAAATATGATAAAACACATAAAAAAATCACTATTTCCATGTTACAATTTATGATTCCCACACTGGAAATTTCAGCTTGTGGTGGCAGAGAACTCTGCTAAAACCACCTCAGAATTTAGCTTTAATGTCTCTTGGATCCTTCCTATGGAGAAGCTACAGGAAATAAAGCTTTGGATAACAGAGAAACACATGGAAATCTACAGGAAAAACCAAATGCTAAAGGAATATGCTGCTGCTAAGGATGCAACCACAAAGAGCTTTTCAGTATTTTCCCTGATTTGGCTAATCAAACTCCTTATCCAAAATATACAAATTGTCAGCAGTGTTTTTTTCCCCCCTGCTTTTCTCAAAAGGAAATATTCCCACCTCTCCTAGTCCATAAAGAAAAGCCAGGAAGAAGGAATTCAATAGCTGCCTGCTTTTGAATAGATCTCACTGTGCTCCCTTAACTCGTGTGGAGGTAAAATAACCATTTGATGCCCCAGACTGGGGAGGGGGAGCTGGGCAGGAGCTGGCAGGGCTCAGGCCACCCCTCTGTGAGCCAGACGCTTCCTTAGGGGGAAGCTTGCACCTCTCATTTGCCACGTCCCTCCCACTCCCTTATCCCTGCTTTAATGGACATTAAAAATAGAACAAAACAGGGCTGGAGATGGGAACAAAATCCATGCCCAACAGGCCTGGATCGCTGTAGTCATTCTGCTGTAAAATGTAAAAACAAGCGAGGGCAGGCGAGCTGCCTCCCCCAGGACACAGCCTGCTCCTTGAATACAGCGGTGCCACCACACATTTCACTTCGGATGCTGCATTATATTTCTGTGTCACTCAAATATTTACCATTTCCCTGGGTTCTGTGGCTGCTCGGAGAGCTTGTCATGAGCCAAGGATCCGTGGGTGTGCGTCTTGGCTGGTTGGTGTCACAGTGCCAACTTCTCCTTCTGGAGCTTCTCATGTGACAAGAGCCACTCCTTCATCAGGTGTCCTCCTCCATAGTGGCCGGTCTGCCCACTGCTCAGGATCACCCTGTGACAGGGAATGATGATGGGGATCTGCAAAACACATCAAAATCAGGGAAGAGGAGCACAGAGGGGAAGGCACCTGGAGCAACAGGACGTGACGCTTGGTGCCATGGTCTAGTGGACAAGGTGGGGATCGGGTACAGGTTGGAGGTCCTTTTGAAACTCAATGATTCTTGAGCCTTGAGCTCAATGAGCCTTGAGAAGAGGCTCAGGGGTGACCTTATGGCTCTCTACACCTACCTGAAAGGGCTGGAGAGGTGTGGAACGGGATGTCCTGCCAGGGCTGCAGGGAGAGGACTAGAGGGAATGACCTTGAGCTGAGACAGGAGAGTCAGATTAGATGTTAGGAATTTTTTTTCCATGTTAGGGTGTTCAGGCACTGGAATATTGCCCAGGGAGGTGGTGGAGTCACCATCCCTGGAGGTGTTTCAGAGGTGTCTGGATGTGGCACTGGAGGATCTGGTTTAGGGGTTCCAGCAGTGACACGTTAATGGTTGGGCTCAATGACCTTAGAGCTCTCCTCCAGCCTGGATGATTCTGTGATCCCATGAGCCTATAAATCCAGCACTGAACCATGAGCCACATATGACACTGGGTCCCAGCCATGCCTGAGGGGGCCAGGGCAGGCACAGCATCAGCTGATCACTGCCTCAGGAGACCAACCCAGTTCTCAGGAAAAAGTAAGCATGGACAGGAGTTTTCATACATAAAAATGATGTAAAGTCTTCCAAAGGGTAAACCTGAGATATTAAATCCCATATATAAAAGCTTCCCTGCAGCAGCAGGTGCTCCTGCCCCACGCCAGCCCCTCCACAGCCCAGACCTCAGGGGCCAGGGTGGGGGATGAAGCCTCACAGCCCCAAAATGTGCATGAGGACAACTAAGACAGGACTATTCATCATCATCACCATGCCCTTAAGCTGAAAGAGGGAAGATTTAGATTAGATATTGGGAAGGAATTCTTCCCTGTGAGGTGCTGAAGCTCTGGCACAGGTTGCCCAGAGCAGCTGTGGCTGCTCCATCCCTGGGAGTGTTCCAGGCCAGGTTGGATGGGGCTTGGAGCAACCTGGGCTGGTGGGAGGTGTCCCTGCCCAGGGCAGAGGTGGAATGCGATCAGTTTAAGGTCCCTTCCAACCCAAACTATTCCATGAATCTATGACCATCCCAGGATTAGGAGAGTCCACATTTCTGGGCAAAACCAGAACACTGTGAAGTGGTCCCTGTGTCCTGGCTCACCTGGCAGATCCTCCTATTGCTGCAGCACCTCCACGTGCACCGTAGAGAAATTCCCTGCAAGACCAAGGTGCTGCTTATTACTTAACCCCAACTCAAGCCAAAATGGGTTGTGGCTTTTTCAAACCTCCAACAGGAGAAATTTCACCCTAACCTAATCAATTTGACCAACCTTTTCCCCCCTCCTGTCTTCTTATCATTTATAGCCAAATGTCACAGATTCTGCAAAATCAGAATTGCATAATGGACTGATAATGCAGAGAAGTACATAAACATGGGTTTGTTTTTTTGATTTTTTATTACAGGTGATTATCACAGCTGAAGCACACACCATAAAAATGCAATGCATCATCTCTCCTCACACTGGGTGTGTTTTGCAGAGTAATGGCATTGCAACCATGTCACTGTGACAACAGTAACTCACTCCAAAGGACAGTTTTCACAAATTTTAAGTCAAAACGTATAATTTATTTCCATGTAGACACACAGACAAATTACATCCTCTACACTGACTGATTTTAATCCCATTTAATCATTATTTCAGCATATTTGAGCCTGGGACACACCAGATCTAAGGTAGTTGAACAGCTACTGGCCAGCACCAGAAATTGGGGGTTTTGGGGGGTTTGGTTAAGTAATTTCAATGCCTGAAATTTAAAATCTGCCCATTGTAAACACAAATGCACACAGGTGGTTGTTGCTAATCAAGGTTTAAATGTTTCCAATTGCTGCTTTATTTGCAGGTGGCAATGCCACGAGTTCAGTTATGCATCTGTGGCAACTCCAGTGAGCACCAATAAAACCTTTACTAAATTCCATGTTATCCTGCACTTGGTTTAGGAGTTCTTTAAAGAAATTGGGGGTATTTTTATCTTTTTTTGCAAGGGTTTTTCTGGTTTGGGATTTCTCTGTCTTTGCACTCCCTGCCTGGCAGCTTGGCTCGAGAGACGAAGCCATAACAATCCAAGGTGAATTTGCAATTGTTTAAAAATACATCTATTAAAGCAGCAGATTTTGATGGTAAGGCTATAAATATTGGTGGAAGAGAAAAAGGACTCAGTTTTCAGGTGAGATGGGGTCTTGGCTGATCCCTGGGTGGGTGCAGGACCCGTTCACAACACAGGGACACAGTGCTGAGCCGCTCAGCATCGAGCAAAATGAAATAAACAGCTTTTTCCATGTCTAAAATAAAGCATTTCACACTTGAGATCATCCCAAGCAGCACCTACCCATCACCCTACAGCTCTGGATGTAAGAGTGGTGCAAAGACTGCACCAGCACCATCATTTAAAACTATCCAATATTGCCTCAGTTTGGCTTAATTGTGGTGACAACGTTCAGGCTACTAAAATAATTAAACCTGCTCAAATTTATTAGGGCCCTAAGGACATTTTAGAGGGAGAACTCCCCCAGTCTGGAGCTTTAATGCCTCGGGTACATTTAATGCAATTTTTATCAATAACCAAGCAGCTCATAATATTATAGGTCTGCCGAAATCTTCATGCTGTGAAATCTAATTCATCTCGCACACGAATCCATCACACGCACAGACACGACCTCAAACACTATAGAACTTCCAAACCCACAGATTTGTCTCCAACAAAAACTAACATGAAGGAGCCTTTGGATCAATACCAGAGTCCCTCTGATTCGGGCACCAGCTGAATATTTTCT